AAAATAGAGAGAAAACGGCGCAAACAGAATTGGGGATGGAGAATAAATAGATGACAGAGAGTGAAAAGGTAACAGGCCTCTAATGGAGTGGGTGTCCATTATTACTCTCCTGCTGAGAGGAGCTGAAGCGCTGGGAAGATGAAAACTGTGAAGGAGGGCTGAGTGCATGGGAGTGGAAGAGACTGTTATTGTCGCAGGAAACAAATGCATCCAAAAGTATTCGCATGTACAGCTTATCCAACACAAACACGAACTATATTAAACAGCAAGATGGAGCCTGGACAGCGGATTTAACAAATTAAACACTGAACTATGTTTGAAGTTCATTAAATGTGATACAAGCAAAGTTGAAATAAATATGTGACTTACAAAATTCACATCACCAACACAGTTTTTAATAAACAGTATCTTTGGCCTAAACATAATAAAGCAATAAAAGTACAATTCAGGTTGCTAGGATAGTTAATGTTCACTGTTTTAAAAGGGTGTTAATTTAGATACTTAAAGCTTCCAGAATTTAAAGGAGAAATTATCTTAGTTCTTTAGTTTATTGTGCTCCATCTAATGACATTTTAAACACTTGACAAGAATGGATTATCATGGTTTTGTTCAAATAGTTTTGTTTTTTTGTTGTCATCAGTTTTTGCACCTGGTTTTTCCCTTAGTGGCATAAAAGGAAGTAAAGAATGGTATCCTATTGTTTTTTTTTTAAGCCTGATTCCCCGATTCATGCTTTTAAATCCAGAAATAAAGCGCAGCTGCAACAGTCATTTCTACTGTTTCTTTGTGCCCCAAAAATACAACGAAGCAGCTGAATGGGATTACACATGATAACACATGTGATGCCACATCAGGGCCGTCCAGATGCTCTTATCTTTGCAGCCAGCAGACGACGGTTTGGCATTATTGGGTTTCGGGAGGCTCGTTGTACCTCATATCCGGCCCATTTCTCCGTCTCCTCCCAGACGGATGTAATCGCTCCCATTTTATGGTTGAATGGCAGCTCTTGTGATGCAAGAGTGCTTCCTCACATATGCGTACAGCAGGGACTTGTCTCCTCTGCCCAGAGGGTTACTCATCTGCGTCCTGGATCTGGGCCCAGGTCTTTTTTTTGGGAGGGGAGTGCATCATCAGTGATCCATACATCTTCTTCTGAAAGCTAGACACAGGATTGTGGATAAGCTCTGATCTAAATCCATGACAGAGGAGAGTCAAGTTCCTAAAACCGTCTAATTTTTTGAATTTCAAGCCGGGAAGAGCCTAAAGTGGTGACTCCTTTTCTCCCTCACTGCAGTGGAGATGCCTGAAATCGATTCTGCAGTACAGGTTTTGTACACAGATACAGAACATCTTCAGATATTTCCTCGAGTGTGGCCACTGTGGGCGCCTACAGAGTTGTGCCAAATGAACACCAATACTGCTCAGTTAAATATAGCTCGCCTGTCATCTTAGTTTTCCTCCCATCATTTAGGATTTGCCATGGTGGGTGCACCCAGGGGTGGCTGTCGGTTCAGTTTTACACACTCAGCTCAGTGGTGAATCATACGTCCCCAACAAACACGCGAGCATATCCAGTAAAAACTCTCCTCTGTGGTCCACATCCACATTAACAAGCTCTTTACTATCTAGTTGAGGCCTTTACTGTCATAGTGTTGTCTTGTTTACATGACTGGAACAAGCCTCACCCACAGTGGAAGCTTTTAAGCTGTTTAGCTCACCTGAAATAATCACAGTCTTCATACCAAGTTCTTTAAAAAACATTTGATCTATTAACTTTTATTAGCATGTGCAAGAGGAGCGAACAAACATTACAGCAGCATCTTCTGGCTCATTCAGGGAGATCCTGCAGTTTTTTTTTTTGACTGAGGTAGAATGGAAAACCTTAGGATCAGAAGCCTGAGCAACTCAGCAAACTTTTTTTGATGGCTTTACTTAATTGATGGAGCTTCACATCTCTAAAGCAGAGCCTTTCCAACCAACAGGTCTATTTATTTCAGTCATGAAACAAACCTGTAAATCAAAAGCTTCACTCTTTTGGTCAGATCTTCCCTCACAGCTCACTGGAGCATTTCCCACATCTCCAACTCAATCCTTTTATTTCTTGAGAACAAATTTCCACTAAAGAGAGAGACTGAAGAAGAAGAACCACCACCTTTTTTTCCCATTGAGTACTATCTGTTACTTTAAAAATGGGCTAGAAATGGACCAGAAATCTTAAAATCTGAGTGTTTTCTAAGGATTTAGAGGTAGAGAAAAAGCCTGAGAATCAAACCTTGAAGATCACCCTCATGTGATCTCTGTTCAGTAAGATTTAGAAATGTTAAATAACCCAATGAGATATAACTTAATAAACAACTTTTCCAAAACATTTGAATGCTGATCAGCAGTGAAATGAATAATTTGCTGTAAGGGTTCAAACTACTTTGGCAATAAGAGATAACAGCCAAAGCTTCAATGGTAAAATATCGCTTTAATTGAAATCAGCATAGTTCATCTGTGCCAAAGCTAAGTAGTCAGACAAATTACTCTGATCTATTGATGGCAGCTTTAACAGTTGGAAGTTTGAGTTCAACCTGGTAATTAAGCTTTTAGGTAAACATTTAAGTATCACAGTTTGAAGCTTAAATAATTCTCGAAAAAGAAAAAGACACCAATTTAAAAGTGTTCTCTAATCACTTCTAAATTGCTTTTATGTCAAACTAATGATCCCTCAAACTCACTGGCGCACATAGAAACTTGGAGGAAGCCTCCCTGTGGGACCGCTCAGAAGCACAAGACAAATAAACCGTCCAGCAGAAAGACGTGATGTGGAGACATTGCCTCGGGTCAGGACAGCTTCATTACCGTCCACACAGCACCTGTGTGCTTTCAGAACCCCACTTTTTGCAGGCCATTACTTGGTTTTATGCTGTCTCTCCGAGATACTTTTGGAAATACAAAACGAGGCAAACAAAACACTTTCAGTCTTAATATCGTCATACTGAGTTGATCTCAGGAAGTTAGTCTTTCACTAAACCTCTGAATCATTTCAGATGTTAATACCAGTATTACAGTGCATTCACTTGAAAAATGTAAATGTTCCATTTTGCACTGCAATTAGATAAACTGCACAAAATAGAATGACACATCCGTGGGAGACTGAAAGTGTTTTAGAGGTTATGAGCGAATAAGTCATTTTCTTGGCTGTTGGACACAAAAAAAGCCCCCTGGAGTTAAACAATTCAGCTAAATCTGATTGGCTGATTGGCTTTGTATTGTCCCTAGAAACTGTGCAGCCTGCACAGAGAACGAAGGAGTAAGTTGTCTGTAATGAGGGCGGGATTATTTTAAGACGACAGCTAAAGAACATGGTGCTCTGAACATCACGGCGGTTAAGAAGCACAAACAGAAAAAAATCACCTACAACTTTTAAAAACAACATTTTGCAGCCTGTTTTTTGAGTAACCCAGTATGCCAGGAGGCTCACAGTCTGCTTCATGAGGAGCAAATCAAAAGAATAATGTCTGATTATACATTGGTTAATGATAATTCCCACATCTTCCACTGTGAGCCATAATTAGGCATGGTAAACAGGATGACAAAAGGGGAGAAGGCTGATCCCAGGCCATCAATTACATGTCCTCCTTCTTAAGCTCTGGCTGTGCATCGAAGTTAATTATTGCTGTTGAAGACCGCTATTTCATCCCTCTGCTACACACTGTTTTGTTTTTTTAACAGATAAAAAGCAGCAAAAACTTTAAGATTTAAAGTGAAATTTGACCATAAGATACAAGCTGTACAGAGGCAAAGCTGAACGTGACAACAAAACGGTTCTCAGGCTGTTTGGTCAAAAAATGGTGGGATTTTTCCTTGGCTTATTGACGTGGTGAAAGTTCAAAATGTTCACAATCTTAGGATGCAAAAACGGCAGTGGCGAGAGCTGATGCTGCAATCATAAAATGGCAGCAGGGGTTGGTTTCCTCCACCCATTGTGGCTAAATGGCTGCTCACATTGGTTTCAAAGATGAAAGAGAGCTCTGAGCTTTTAATGCGCACTGTGTTACTGTCCTGCACGTTGTTCAGGCACATAGTGAGACTGGCCTGTCAAGCACAAGCAAGTGGACCCAGGTGTGAGGTAATTGTGCTGGAAAGAGTTGAGGCAGTTCAGGAGGGAAATGCACAATGGGGAATGATGTAAATTGAAAAATCTAAGGAGGAACAGCTAGATTGCAGTGTGATTTTGTGCTTTTAGGGTATGTGCATCTTTAAATATATCTGACCAAAAAGATGCTCGAGTCAAACATTAGAAATAGACTAATTTAATAGAGAACATGCTGATTCCTAAAAGTGAATTGAAGTGATAAATATGGGAGCAGGTGTCTTGATTTTCTGAACCACTGCACATCGAACTGCACAATCCATCCATAAGAAATATCCAAACAGGAAACTAGAACTTAAATTTATTTTGAGAGGTTGTATTTAAAATTCAATACAAACATTTTATGTAATCTCTAATGTAGTCCTTATTTGCACTCTATATAAAAAATGCAGAGGCATAGCTGTGTAACCAGTGCAATTAAGTGTCACAAAACCAGCGAAATTCACAAATATTTTATTCCAAGCCTCAAATCCAACGTATGAAACAGTCCATGACATCTACGAACATCCAGGAAAAGGTTTTCGGAGCTTAAAAGCTTTAAAGCATTCAGGTAATAACTAGTGATTTTAAAATATAGAAGCTCTTATCCATCACCTCATTCTAGTGATGAGACATGTAAAAACTGAAATAATTTTCAAAACATAAATAAATAACCATTACAAGCTAGATGTGCATCTCATGGACATTATCGTGAACCAGAGGACAAATTTATTCATGTGAAATTCAAGCAGAGATTGTGTGAAGATGGAGAAACAACAGTGTTGTGGGAAAAACAAAGAGAGTACTGCTCTATAATTACAGACAAAAGCCCCGTCACTGAAATAGTCACTCGGTTCATATTAACACCATTTACGCTCCTCACCTGACAAGCCGCCCACGTCCATTTTTTTCAGGTTTTTGGCCTCCAGGATGACCACGGTCAGCTTGCCCGCGGTGGGAACGTATCGCAGAGAGAAGCAGATATCACCCAGCTTCTCTTGCTGTTGGAGAACACAGATAGTGATACACTTGATACCGTTTATGTCAGAATCCCATGCTTTTCTTATTAATTTATGCCGGATGTTACAATCAGGTTTTGAATACGGAACCTGACAAAAACCAACAAATGGATGGCATATGTCGACATAAAACCATTAAACAGGATTCCAAACTTTTACAGAACGATGAAAAAAACAGGACAACTAAATCGAAATGTGCTATCTCAGTGGATAGTCGATAGGCGAGATTACAAAGAAACAATTCAGATGAGCAAACACAAAGCTGTCACTTCCCCTTGCAAGACAGCAGACATGTTTATGCCTGTTTATTTCAGCTCCTCACCAGCAGAAGAAATGAGATTGGATGCTCAGAAGCGTCAGTGCGTCTGTATCAAAGCGTAATCTACCGAACACTGACAGAGTTATTAAACAATGCTCAACTCAAATCAGCATGAATGGAGGCGTAAAAGTCTGGAGACATTTTCTATCGTCGCTTTAAAAGCATCCAGGGGGATTTTTGCAGAAACTGTTTTAGATCAGATTGATTTTTCTTCCATATATGGAAACTGTTAAAGAAAAATATACAGCACAACTAATGTGATAACACAACAAACAATTATGTTTCAAATGTTTTATATATTTAAAATTGTCCGCCAATCAAATAGTTGTGTCAATCACTAAGAGTGAAAAGCTGTTGAAAGACAATAAGTCTACGGTCAAGTACAAATATGTGAAACGATGCTATTTAGTTTGCTAAACTTAAGTCTATTTCAGATTAAACTGCGTCTCTCAAGTGTCCTCTGCTTTTTACGGCTTCTGAAATCAGCTTTTTTGCACTTACGTCTTTGGGGGAAAAGTGCTGCAATCACTTCATCTCTTCTCACAAATCAGCATCATAACATTGACTCGTTATGATGGGCTTAAAAAGTTAGTCATATTCAGGATTTCTCCTTCATTGAAATAAGAACTGCAGCACACGGCTGTTTAATGTGTAGCAGTTTTAAGACAAAGGTTTTCAAAATCAACAAACTTGTCCTGAATATTGACCTTTCAGAAGGTTTTCATCAGGATTTAATCAGGATCTGTTGCCTAAAATCCTCAACTTTGACTTTGTTCTACCCAGCAACCTTAGATTGTATCTGATATAAAAGCTTTAAAGTTATAAATAATATTACTTTTATTTAGCATGAGGCACCAGGGGCTGCAAACCGTAAAAACGCATGTAATCGAAGCATTTGGGAATAGTGAAGACTTAGGTTTTTTATTCTTCCAATTAGACAAAAAAAAAAAAAAAACAACAACAACTGATGAGTCGATATTTGAAAAAAAAAATTTCCGATGCATGGACATTAAGAACCATGAATATCAAGCACAGCAACATGCAAGAAAGAATTGTTTAATGTGTAGAAAACCCCAAATTACTTGGCTTAGCTGGAAAATAGATGGTCAGCATGAGAAATATAAAGTGTCACTCTGGTGTCAATATAAACAGTCGTGCAGCCACCAAAACATGGCCAACTGATGCCCTTCAACTAAATATCCACTCCGGGTGTGATAATTAACCTTCAAATCAACCCACTGTAATGCTAAAAATAAGGTTGCCAACATGTGCTATATGCCATGACATTTACCATGAAAATTGAATTTCCTGAGCTGGAGACTGGAAACTCACACTTCTATTAATTGAATGGGAAGTGTGGACATATGATTAAGTGACATTTCGAGGAGAAATGGATTTCATCAGCCACGCCAGCGTGTTGGAGGAACAAGCAGCAGCAAAGTAATGACTGCGACATCACTTATGCAATAAAAACTCTTCTATTATGGAAACAAGGTACAACTTCAAATTTGAGCCGTGTTCTGTGGTACAACATAAGCGGGATAATGGCAGACATGTAATATTTTTGTATAATCGTGGCAAAGATGTGAAGTCTTACTTCCTCCTTCTCAGCACTCTGTAGATCTCTCCACTCCTCTGTTACGCGGCTGAAGTCCACCTTGTTCATGGGCACCTTGATGTCGCCAATGGCATCGTGCTTGGAAAAGCGGTCAAAGTCGTACACCGTCATTACCAGCGTCTTGCCACCAAGCTCTACGTAGGGCACCTAGAGAGAAAACAGGGCTTTTGAAACAAGAATTTTACCTAAACTAACCTTAAAATCAGATTTTGCCCCATTTTGAAGATATCATGGGTGCAGAAAAAGGCTAAAAATGGCTCCCTTCGCAATGGATGAAGATCAACTTAATGTCTCAGGAACCTGGATGCAAAATTAAACGTCAAATCAAACGTCAAAACTCATGTTTCAGTGTAAAGGCAATAACTACTTCTCCCTTTGTATTCACAAATTGTTATGTAATTATTCTTTTTCACCATTTGTCCTTTTCCAGGTTTCTGCACGTCCACAGTCAGTTTCCGCCTATTTTGGAGGCGGAAACACCATCAGTAGGTTTCAGTACATCCTACCTGCTGTATAGGTGCAAAAGCCATCAAGATTTTCACCACAGCGGCATGAGAAGATGTGGCTGAGATTGCTTTTCTATATAAATGCTGCGTAATACACAACGCGCCATCCATCCTAAACAAGAAACTTGTGCTATGATTTGCATATATTTCTGAATAAGAAGGCATTGTGCATGCAAAGCCCAATCTTCCACCCTCCTGGTGAAATAAATTTGAAGTCTTCCCTCTAATAATTTGCCAGGTATATCTGGCATTTGAAAGGCGGTTTGGAAAAACTCCCAAATTTCTGTGGTCTATCAGCGATTGGTACATATGCGCAATTTCTTCTTAGGACTCTGTAGAGACCACCCAGATTTTTTAATTTATGGACTATGCATTTAAATAAATCTGACAATGTTACGCTGATTTCTAGGATAACTTGGAAAACTTGTCAGAAAGATGTAATGAAAACAAGAAGGACATTCATAATTCATTCCTATACGGTTTTGTAAAGGTTCTACAAAAAATAAAACTAAACAACGTATCAAAATCTGAATTTTCTGTCACTGTATGGTCGGCCCGATTTCAGCTGCCAGGATTATTTTGAGACACGTGGAAGTGGTACATTTCCAGCGTCTCAAAATAATCGCAGCAGCTGTGATGGTTCATATTTTACTCCCTCCCAGGATCTTCTTTGGACTTGAGGAAAGCCTGACAGATGCTGACGTTCCTCCTTTCATATGGCAGCTTGATTTTTTCCATGTTTCAGTTTTCTTATGCAAGTCACATCTTTGCCAAGAGCAAGGTCAGTTTGAATGGTTGTCTTTCATTTTGGGAGCTTTCTCGCTTTCTCTTTTGATTTTATTCACATTAGTGAAAAATTGTTTGAAACTCATTAATTTTATTGAGATATTAGGTTTAAAAGGACTTGACATGCAGGTCTAGTTTCAGGTAGACAAACAAGAATCTTTCTTTGTCTGTCTTGTATTATTATTTCCAAGATATATTAACATGAATATCTCATTGCATTATGCTCAACATACATCAAACGCCTGAGCTCTCCACTGTCAAACAAATGACAAAACTTTCTCCACTGCGAAGCAGCAGCCATGCATCCATTATGGCTGTGTGGAGGCCCGGGTGTAGTGGTGCGTCTGCCTGTGTTAATCCCAATCATACTGAGCCTGAGTGTTAGTGTGTGAGAGAGATATTCTGTCAGGAGCTTGTTAATGCACCAGCTGGTTGCTGTCTGCACACCTTCCCAGATTTCAAGGCTGCATGCAAATCAGATTGTCAACAGAAGTGAAAGATTTCCAGCTACAAAATTGAACAAATGTGTTGGAGCTCTCAGCCAAAGCTCAAACCACTAATGCAAGACGTACCTTGAAGGTGAACTGTTCGTTAAAGACTGGGTTTAGGGTCTTCCTGTGGACCTTGGTCTCAAATTTCTTCTTCTTGTCAGGCAGAAGGTAGACCTTCACATAAGGGTCAGATGTGCCTCCCATATCCATGGCAGGCAGCTCTGCAGCCTGGATGATCCCCACCATGAGCTGAAACAGGAAGGAAGGGAGTCCACAAATTATAACTCTGCCTGTCGACCGACACAAATCATACATTAGATAAAGAAATATCACCAAAGTGTGGCTCTGGACCTAAAGGAAACTTCCTGCAAATGTCAGCATCAATCATTAGGTAATAATGGTATCCTAAAGATAATTTGGTGTCATTTTAAGGGAGTTGGCTCCAATATTACAAAGGCAGAACATGTCGGCTCCTGAAGAGTCCGTAAAGGTCACGGCGTGTCACACCAGGAATGAGACGTGTGTTTTTTTTCCCCTCATACGGTTGACAATTGATAACCACAGCAGGGGTCCTGGGTGGCTGATTGACCTGTCAGTCAGAGGCTCGACTCAAAGGCCTCTCAGGAGGTCCTGCTAGTCAGTCAATCAACTTCCTATCAGGCAGCCATCAAGCCGCAATCTGGAGGCTGACCATGGCGCTCAGCTGCAGAGCTCCACAGCTGACAGGAGCTTCCTGTGTGGAGCTTCCTGTGTGGAGCTCCACAAATAAACATGTGGAGAACAAAAACGACCACCAAGACATGTAAAGAAAAGGTTTATGGACTATTTCTGTGGCTTTGCATTATTATTATTATTATTTTTATTTTTTGGGGGAAAGAACCCCATTTACTAAAACTTCTACAGTGTAGATAGATTTAAAATTATGTAGCACAAAAACATGACAGTAAAAAATATTTTAGAAAAAGTTCTATGTTTTAAATCAGGATGACCTTTTTTGGAATCTAAAACTTATTTTTTTTAAGTTCTAATATATCTAAAAAAAAACCTAAAAATATAATTGAAAGTTTCACAGTCTTTAAAGATGTTTTCTACAGTCTATCCTTTTTTATTATTATTATTTTTTTATTAGATTTAAGAAAAAACAAGTTGAAGTTTTGCAGTTTTGCGGAAGTTTATTACAAATTTTTCTTTGATCACTTCAACAGGATCTTCTCGGTGATATATATATGTTTATATAACAGTTATGAAAGGATGCATGAATAAATAAATCAGCAGTTTGTATTTCCAGATGAGAAAGCACAGAGTATTGGTGGTCAATCTAACCGAGCAACAGTCACCTGTTGACCAGGTTTAGAAAAATATTTCCATTATTGGCAGGTTAATACATTTGAGCTCTTAAAGTTTTATGACACAACACATCAGAAGCCTCCTGGAGGAAATATTTGCATATCTTATAAGACAAAAAGGAGCCAATCTAGCTGTCATTTACTTTAACCTTCACAGAAGTACGCTTAGCACCGGAGACAGGAAGTGGCACTTAGACTTTATGTATAACAATTGCTCAATGCATGCTGTCCTCCTGATTTTCATCCATCCGTCCATCCATCAGCACCGTCAGTAGGAGACACATCATGTCACACCTTCTTTACTGTGGAAGGCATTGATGCTTGAGGAAAGATTGGAGCAGGATGTGCCTGGAAAGGCTGATTTCCAGTTTGCTGCTTCTGCTAATTGGCTTTGTTGTGTTTCATCATTTAAAACGGTAAAAAAAAAAACTGCATTTAACCATCTGGCTGACACCAGACCTCAGAGTCAGAACTGGAACAACAGTGGCTCTGTGTTTGCACATCTGTGGGGATTTTCCTGTTTAGCTACTTACAGCAGAGGACTGCTGGTGTAACCTTTGTTTGCAAGTTGAGCTGCAGTCCTATGAGCAGCCTGCTGACCAGAATGAGCACACACACACTGAGGCATCTCACACCCAGGACTTTCTCTCCCTAATGCATCGATAAGCACTTCCACAGAATGAAAACTGGCTGTCCGGGGTAATATCACCACAATGTCTTTGAGAGTAAATATGGAAATTAGCTGACTGTCTGATAATAAAATGAATATGATTGTTTTTTAAATTAATCTCTTCTAAATACTGAGTTTCCATTCCACTTATTCTGACTGGACTCAGAGCTGTATGTATAAGAACAATGAATACGGTAATGATGTAGAAAGTGGTTCTTCCTGCTGTGCTGAGATGGCTCTTTGTGCTTCACTTGCCGTCTTTGCCTCATGTTGTCTCCTCGCTGCTCCCCGAACGATTTGGATCTTTTACAAAACCTTTTTTCCTCTCATTAGTGTATAAATCCAGCATCAGGCAGCAGCTATTTGCAGTGCTTAACAGAGAGAAACAATGCTTTGCCGTGTGGACCTGACATTAATCTCCAAGTGCTTCTGCACCCTGATCCCCCTGATTTAGTATTTGCACACATGGAAACTGGTGTTTACAGCTTCTCCTCGGAAGGACTTGACATTTGCTAAGTTTGGGGCCTTCATGAGACAAGAGTCCCATTAAACACACTGACATCAATTAGCGGGGAGATCTTAAAGCGAGGGTCTTAAAGGTGAAGCAAAGACAAAATAGTGTGCTTTTACGGCATGTCTATGAAGCATAGTTGTGACATTTTGATCATTGATGGTATTTATTTTTTACAACGAAAAGAAAATAATGCATTTTATTTGACACATTCCTTTTTTAGGAATGTTTTAGCAATTTGAGCATAAAGCAAATTATTACTGCAAAATTTCACAGCACAGTGGTTTAGGTTTTATGTTCGTAGAAGGAATCAAGGTTTTAAAAGGTGTCTTCCTGTTTCTTAACTTCCAAGATCTCCAGTGAGCTCAGCCTATAGCTTCTTTGGGGTCAGTGTCACAAATGTGAAAACTGTCATCTATTCATTACACTTCAGAGCCATGGTGGAGCTCATTACCTTTGTAATCAAGAACCTCATAGAGAGCTGTCACCGCCTATCTGTACAAGACAGATCAGCACTGTGAAATGTAATATCGTCCATAAAATATCCCTTTCATGAAAGGCTGCCTCCTCCGAAAGAAATAAGGTATGGATGACTGATCAGCTACGATGTGAGCACTGTGTAATTTCATTAGCAGCATTACTGTCAGGAATGATTCACAGGTGAAGCTGTAAAACATATTGATATTGACCAGGGAGAGGGTGTTGTTTGCATTATAGAGTGCAGGTAAAGGACTGTGTTGTGTATAGTTTAAAAATATACATACATTGTTTATTGGAGGGGCTGATTTTGCAGATCTGAACTCTATTGTTCTCATACAGGGTGTCCAAATATGTTCAGTGCTTTGATTAAATATAAAACTGTAATATGGAGTATTAGGGCCGGTGTAGATCGAAGGAAAAAGAACGGCTATATTTGTGCCAAACTGTCTTCCCCTTGATATTTCAAGACTATTTTCTCATATTTACAAGAAAAACTTGGAGATTCTTTGATGTCAAAATTTGTTTTGGGATAATTATCGGATTGATATCCATTGCTATTCTTAAGAAAGTTCTGCCAGCCATCGCATCTGATCTGATTCAAATAGAAATTTAATCTTCCTAGTTTTTAAAACTATTTCAAGTTGATTATTGCATAATTGTTTCACCTGGAAAAACAAACAAACTGAAATGCGTCTTGGTAGGCTCAACCCGTGTATAACAATCAGGTCTGAATTCATGTAAAAAGGCATGCTTGGTGCACAGACGCCGGAAGACGCCTAATCACAGGCTGTCAGATCTGCTTATAACAGGGAGTAAGGTAGCCCAGCGAGGGACGGTGTGTTCATGCACCACTTCCATTATCTGTCGCACAACATCTGGTGAAAAGAAGGTGATTTTTTTTCAAAGCTCACTCACTGGAAAAACTGCAAAGATGACGGATATCTGCAGGGGCCACTTTTGATTAGGCAGAAATATAATAGAAAAACAGATAAACCACAAATTGAATCCCGGCAGGATTAGAAGTTTCAGATGGAAATATGGAAAGTTAACCATCAACTCCAAACAAGGGTTGACAGAGGAAGTATTTCAAAAAGAGCAAAAATGCTCTGCTGAGTTTGATTCTCTGCAGATCTTAAAGCAGGATTTCAAAGCGACTCCTCGCAGTGAGCCAACTTTTCAGTACGACAAAACTGAAGGGCACAATCTAATTGTTTATATTTACAGCAGAAACAGATGAACTGTTCATACTACTGACAACAAACTGTTATGAAAAGCTTAAACTATTTTGAGACAGCAATAACCATTCAAAGTTAAATTTTATGCTTTAAATTAAAAAAACACCTCAAGTAGCTATTTAAATGGATTTGTTAACTACAAACAGATTGTATTTTACTCCTAATATATCCATATTGCATTAAATTTTCTTCATAGAAGGAGTTGAATAATTTTTCAATTGAATTAAAAGACCTTGATGAGAATAGAGGTTTTCAAGCTTTTGTTGTGCAGAATGTTCTTTTTGCTATTTATAGAGTAAACCTGGGAATACAACAAGCTCATTTAAGTTAACCATTTCGTGAGGGTATTATGTTAATTCTTTCTATTGTTTTGGAAGCAGAATTATTTTGTACATTTTAATATGTCTGTCTTTTGAACATATGTATGGTGTAGGAGCTGCTTTTCAGTGCAAAGCAGAACTGGCTGTGTTTCTTTATTAATGGTGCAACACAAACTTTTGAAGGTTTTTATAAAACCTTCACAGTGATGCTGTCAAACAGCCGGCCTTAAAGTTGGATGTGACAATACTTACGAGAAGAGGGTCTTTTGCAAAGTCTACACACACTGAGTGATTTGGAGAACGGATCCTTACCGTATTCTCCGTGAAATTGTAATCCAGGGAGTATTGTAATTTGCCCAGTTTCTCGTCCTCCTTTGGCTCGGCCTCTTTCTGCGTTTCAGTCAGCCCTGTCTCCGCATCCTCCTCATCCTTCAAGGCCTGAAGGAGACACCCACCAAGAGTCAGTGCCGCCTGTTTGTAGCGGGGCGCTAGCACCCAGCCAGCCGTTCCCCCGCCCACCCAGGTCCTGCCTGCGAAAACCTACTCCTGCAAAAGCCCCCACTTGTTTCAAACTGTAAAAGGTGGAAAACGAGGAGGGGATAAAGGGGAGCAAGCACTAAAACATGGCAGTTAACATCAGGACATGCTCTGTGATGCACTGAAGCCCCAGGCCTGGTCCTTTTGGTGCTTTTATGTCAGTCTCTGAGTGTTTGAGTCTGAGGGGAGGAAAGATCAAATAATGGCGCCAGAAATGAGAGCAATGAGAGGATAGAGAGATACTTGGGGAGGACAGAAAGACAGAGAGAAAGATGCTTTCAGTAGGACAATTTCCTTTGATGGCAGATTAAGTATTTGGCAAGAAAAAACAAAACTGGGAAATGTGAGAAGTGGCAGTGGATGAGAGGTGAACGTGGCCTTTCTCTAGGCTGGCACTGAGGTGAGGGTGGCAGGTGGTGGCACTGGTGGGGGGAGGAGAGGTAGGGTGGTAGGAGAGAGGCAGTTCCCCATAAGAAAAAAAAACATGCGATTAAAGAGGCAAAGACTAGATCGCAGTCATTCAGAGTCAAGAGTTGCCTTTCCGAGGTGCCTCTCATCGTTTAGCATGCAGAGCATTCTCTGTCATACAAACAGTGCTCTTTAGTGATTCCTCATTCCCATGTCTGGTTACAACCTCAGACATACAGTCACATTGTCATCATAGCCCTAAAGCTGTACCCCCTTCTACGCCGATGTAGCTAGAAGCATCATGCCAGCGGTGGGTGGAAGGTGTTGGTAAAAAAGGATGTTGTAATGTACTGAACATCGGGGCCTGCTTCTATTAGTTAAATTAATCATGTGAAAGCAGGAGGCTGAACAACACAGACTGGATCAGGAAGCTGCTGCTGGGTCTGGTCTCTGCCTTTAGCAGGAAAATTATCCAATTAGAGCGATTTGATATTACAGAGAAAGAGAGAAAAAAAATGTGGCAGGTAAAATGATTGAGGAGAAAAAGTGTGATCAGTTTTATCTGAGCTGACAGGAAAAAAAATATGCTAAGCTACATCTAAACGTGCACTGTAAAATGCGCGTACAACCAAATGTGAGAAACAAAGTGCATAATTATGCAGAGGAAGTAAAAAGAATCACAGTTTTCTGAAGCAAACATCTACAAAGTGTAGCATGAATGTTTTCCTCATTATTCTTTTCTGAATTGCTAGCATCCACTTTCATGGCATGGCTTAGATTCCCTATTGGATTTTGGGCTGGACTTTGACAGCACCAAACTAAAATACATGCTTTCATCTACATTTCATCGCAGCTCTGTCTGTGTACTTAGGTTCACTGTGCTGCTGGAAGTCAAACAGCATGTTTAGAGCTGGACTTATGCTCAAAAGACGGCATAGACGTGGCTCAGTAGCTGTATTTCCATTACAAATGTATGCAAAGTTTTGTTGATATACTGCTAATGCAGAAAAAATAAAATGTAATTGCAGTGTTTCCAAAAATCCACCTCATCCTGGCAAGAACTTTTCAAATTTGGCGTGTTTTCAATAAGCAAATTTATTTTTGTTATTCCAATTTGCGCAGTTTGAAGGTCAATGGACACTCAGACATTTTCTAACCAAACGACTTCTTTATGATTTCATCCATGACCTGTTTGTTGTGCTAGTTGTTCTTGGTGTCGTTTACTCAATATTAATCTTTAATGAAGCTTCACAGAATAGCTGGATTTATGCCAAATTAAACACAAGTGGACTCTATTTACTAAATCTAAACGCAATCTGGGTTTAATTTTGGCATATCAAGGTGGGTGAATACAAATGCACACCATGCTTTTCACATTTGAATGGTAAAAAAAAATCGAATTTCTTTCCTTTCACCTCACAATTATGCACTGTTCTGTGTATGTCTATCACAAACAGCTCTGTACTTATAAAGCCTCTCAATCATTTACTTTTGCTCTCATTTGGAATATAAATGATTCAAAATAATTTATATTCCAAAGCAAGACATATTTTTGGCAGCTTGGCACAAAAAAAAAAAAGCCTGTGTGGGTCAACCTCATCAATGTGCACCCAGTGTCTCTTTCATACATATATATGTGCATATGCAGGTTGTAGGCACATATATACAGTAGATATACATGTACAGAATGCATAGTTACATATATTTGGTTCTATGGAAGCAGTAGTTGTTGTCAAGAGGCTAGTAAAAAAAAACAAAAAACATCAGAGCAGCAGGCTTAAGAAGATCCAACAGCAATTGGGAACCTACCGCCAGTGACCATCCCGAACAGTCATCAGACACAACACAGATAAGGAGGACATAGAAGGAAGAAACACAAATTAAAACAACCACACACAGGAGTTAACACACTAGAGTCTGGGCACACCAGGAGAAATGACTGCTTGCCTCTAAAGAAGTAGATTCAAAGAGCTCAGAGATATGCTCTTTAAAAAAAAGAGGGTTCACATCTCTTTTCTGCAAATATTAGCAGTTTAAGTATGAATTCTTGGTTGTGGAAGGGCAGCGGGGATATGAGGGAAACAGTCGAGCAATGCAGTCACAATGCTGCCGCTTCCACGCTTTTTACCCAACCATTGCATCAGGAGGCTTCCTCACAATCTGTAGTATTTCTTTCTTCAAACTGGAGGTTTGTGCACATCTACCATCAGTTTCAACCTTACTAAAAAGGCAGAAACACCATCAGTGTTTTGAAACCATATGTTTCTAAACCAAGTGCAGTTTCATGTCTAGCAGGAGATCATTTTGAGCTCCAGTCCAATCCTGAAGCGGTATTATTCTACAATATTTAGCTGCAAAAATCCTGCAACACACCTAAATCAAATGAATGGCTGCTTACAAGGCATCTGCAGAGCTCAATGACACACAGATGAGGGAATTCAGTTATTTAACAGAGGTGTGTCAAAGCAGGGATCCATCAAAAAATTGCAGAATAGTAACTCTTACTTACAGGAACAAACTGGAAATAAGTTTATTGCTTTTAAAGTTGTGGCACAGTTGTCAGGCAACTGATATTTCCAAAAACATGTTTGTTACTTCCTGCCTGTGACTCTGAGCCACCTCCAGTGGCAGAGGTGTTGTTGCATTTTATTAAACACATTTTCATTTGTTGGCCGCTGAAGATGGCACCTCTAATGAAGCCACAAAGGCACAATTCACTGTCTGCGCATCACAACTTCCCCTTCTGCACTACTAAAAAAATAGTTTAAAGTTTGGTGATGTCATTTCTCTGGGTGGATACCACGTCATTACACAGCTACTCACACTCTGCAACAAGTGAGCAGGTCCACATATGACAAGAAAGAAGTAATCACAGCAGGAGATGACAGAGATTTAAGTCAAGTCATCTGAGTAACCAAAACTTTAATGTTTTATCTATATTCAGAGAATTGTTAAGTTAATTTGGGTGTAATAATTAAGGAGTGAATTCATACAAAATAAAGCAGTAGAAGCATTTGATTATTAAATTCACTATTCTAGTGCAACTTTGTCATCATGTGCAAAAGAAAACAAGCATGAAATAATGCCAAACAGAAGCAAAAACAACATATCAAGACATATTTCCAGAGAAATACCTTCAACTTCTTTTATGTGGTCACATGAACAAGATTTAGCATAATCTTAGCCTCTTCAAAGGATTCAGAGTTAATTTATAAGAGATAAAAGCAGATTAAAGTCTGTACCTCGGTTTTGGCCCCATCCATGACGTCCTTCATGTTGATGGCATTTTTGCCCTTGTCTTTGCCCTTCTTTTTGTTTTTCTTTTTGAAAATCCACTTTTTGCAGACGCAAAAGCAGCAAGCCAACGCCAGAATGATGGCCACGAAAGCAATGGAGACGATGGCCCATGACGGCACTGCGGGGAAAAAAAATTAAATAAAAAGAACTTGGGTCAGACGCTGCACACGAAGGGACGTTTTTGAAAAGCAGTGATTACACACACAAAGAGGTGAGATAAAAGCAGGAAATGGTGTGGGGCTTCACTTTAGCTCTCGCCTGGGCCCATCAAGAAGTGGCAGACTCCAAGCGATGGGGAGAAAACCTGACCAAACACCTTCAGCCAATTTAGTGGAAGTAACAGATGTTGGCATTTTCCACTTGCCATTTAAACAAAAGACTCCGAGTCAAGCTGACACTTTCATGGCAATCAGCGTCAGCACAGAGTGCACAGGGAGTCAAGGTGGTGGTGATTTTGCAGGCGTGTCTGATGGGCATTAATTCAGGTGTGACCATGACAATCCAATGATGCACTCAACCTGGACAGGTTCAAATGGGGTTTTCTTTCTTTTTGAGACTTGACACATCCTCTGTTACATACTGGGTTTCTGTGCAGCGTTGAAAACATTTGAACTAGATTTCAGTTTCAGAAAGACAGCCAGACGAAACACAAAAAGCAGTTTTATGCAAATAGTTTCTATCTGAAGCAAATAAAGTGATCCAAAGCACCCCACCCTTCTGTGACAAAGTAAAAGAAAAAATATTATGAATTAACATTTTTTGCAAAGCTGATTTATTTTGGCCTAATTACTGCTACAAGGAAACTGTTAGACTGTTGGTCAAGGGAGGTTTGTAGAGCTTTAGGATTCCAGAAATATGAGGAAAACAGGGAACAGGAGCTCACCAAAATTACTCCAAGAGAACCAGGAAGTTGCAAAAGAAGAAATCAACAAATTATTCTTAAAAAAAAAATCCAACATAGCTGATTTTAAAAAAATCTGCAAAGAAGAGTGGAACAAATCTAGTCGACAAGTATAAGTTATCATGTTGCTGCTAATGAGTGTCACAAGTAATTATTAAGTTTAGGAGGCAAATAATCATTAAAATGAGAAAATATATTGTTGTCCATGTCTTTTTTTTCTTCTTAATCTTTACAAACCAACGTGAATCACAATAAAGTGAATCAGAGAGAATATTTCCATTTGCTAGTTTTATGTTTGAATATAATCCAATGCATGAACAGCTTAAAAATACTTTTAAAGGTTAAAATCTGGTCTGAAATTTTCCTTAGCATTTTTGGATTTCACAAAAAATATGAAATTTTAACAATCAAAAAATACACCACTGGCTGACATATTTAATTACCGTTATAAAAAGACATAACAGTGTCACCTACTCATTTATATTCATGCTAAATTTGTAAAACCTACAACACATTCATCGAAATGCTCTTCTGTTCTGAAAAAGGTTGATTTTGTTTGTTCCCTCCAGCATATGCTGTTGGCCTCCTTCATGGCCTTGACTGGAAAAACTGGGACAAGCAGCAGTCAGCCTCCTGTCACATATGAACTGTCAGAGCCGCAGCTCAACCAACACAATGACAGCCAGCTGCAAACACAGTGACACCTATCTGTGCCGCAGTCAGCCGTCAGCCTGAGCTTCCTGCTTCCTGTTGACACAAAGGAACACCGTGTCTCCGACACAACAACGCGAGGGTTGGAGGAAAGTCGGGAGGTTGAACCTCCTCACGAGATGACTTCTTCCAGCAGTCAAGGTCGTCCAACTAATATCAAAACGCCTGGAAAAACAAAGGTATTCACACCCCAAAATGTTTTATAGAACAACATAAAGTAGAAAATAATTAGGAAGCAAAAATAAAGATTAATTACTTTTTTAAATTGGGGTTTGTCGGTTCAGTCCCCTGCTCCATTTGTCTTAGTCATTGTGAGAGTAAAATGGGGTGAAATATAAATCCACACCCCAATTCTGTGATTAAAAGTCAAACAAACACAGTTTATTATGTAAAAGCCCAATAATATACTTATAAGTTTATGCTTAGATTGTGGCAAAATGTGGAAACACTTAAAAGGTGAATACTTTTAAAAATACAAACAAACAATATGAAGCAAATATCCAGTAAAAAGTTTAAAGTGGTTGGTATTTTTTAAGGGATATAGACATTGTGATAAATAAAACAGTCAGTTTAGCAGATGTATATCCTTAGAGAGAAATAAATCAACTCTAACAAAACTCATATAAAACTCGACACGATCCATATCTCAAAAAATAATCCAAACATCCTCATAAACTCAACATGCTGATTGAAAACACGAGGCAGGTTGAGCTCCAGTCCTCTTAAGACCATCTGGTAAAAACCCCAGAAGTTTCCATCAAAACAGAAAGAAAATCTTTTAAAATTACAGCAGTTCACTCTGCGGTTGTGCTGACTAGCCTTCGCTTGTGGTTCTTTTGCCGAGGTGAGAGAGAAAGAAGACAAATCGATTCCCTGTTGACAAAATCAATAAGCACTCTCCTCCAAGGAAAAACAGTGAGTGATGCTCTGAAATAACTTTGGATCTACAGCTCCGGCCTTGCCTCGCAGCGCCACGGTAATGGAGGTGACACTGGATAGGCCTCGTTCGCAATCAGCCTCCGAAAACTTTATGTGGAACAAGCTGCAGCTCAGGCACTGTTCATAATGTCCGATTTAAACTCTGGCATTTCTACATTTCTTATTACGGTGATAAAACATTAACAACTCAAGCAAACTTTAGATTTTAAATGCATGAATATATGTTTCATCTCAACTTGTAGTGTCAATGTTTAATAAGATTCAAGATCCATATTTTATCTTGTCGTCACAAAATGCAAACACAAGTGAAAGGGAGGAGACCGGCTTTTAAGCAAAGTGTCACAGATGTGGCAGGTCTTGAGTTGGCAAAGTGCTCTGAAAAAGCAATCAGCTTTCTTTGGAAACTGTAGAATAGTGATTTTATTTTTTTCACCCCCAAATGAAAGCACTAATTAACAGGAATCTCATAAATACTTATGTCACTCGGCTGGAATCTTTCATCAGCGCTGAAAGAGCCTGATGGAATGACATTTAAACTGAAATCCAGGCAAAAACTCCCCGACTTTATCTTATTCATCAAGCCCACGTCTTCCAGTGAAAGGCACTTCTGTGTTCCTTAATTAAAGGAACCTGAGTCCCAGAAAGCAATAAAAGCATTCCCTAATTAACTACATTGTCTGAGTGTCTTTTCTCGGGAGAGAAAAAGGGGGTGAGCGGGAGCGCACACCGAACTCTAACTCCTGACACTTATCTGTTGTTCCACCGGGCGACGTGGCTCGGAAAATAAGAGTTTCTCTGATGGGCTGGACATGCTTGGTGGATCCGTGTTTGCTGTCCCTTGGGGCTCAAGACACTTTTTGGGTTTAAAATGATGAAAGAAGAAAACCAACTATCTTCAGATGTCTTCATATAAGACGATGTGAAGAATTGTTTGATTGCAACCCAACTATTTTGACATCACTTAAATGAAAAATTGATGATAACTGCATTATTGAACAAGTTTGAACTACATTTAAGTGAAGCCATTAAATGTTATTTGTGCACATGAAGTTTATTTGAGGAGGACACCCGTTAGCTTCACAGCATCAGAGCCAGTTAGCTTCAGGTGTTACCGTGAAAACAGAACCGAGTTTGGGTTTTTATCAGCGTTCAGAGGCGAAACACTTCAAACCTTCAAATACAGTAAATGTCAGCTTTCACTCAGGGACGTTTTTGGTGGTGTGGGCGATTCTATAGGGACTTTATTCAGACTGTGTGAAAAGATAGTGACTCATATATAATACAGAGCAGGAGTGACTGAAACCATTCTGAGCTTGTTTCTGAGGAAGCATGCATGAAAACATCCACTCACTACGTGTATATCGTTTCCTCTTATTATAGTAAATATTTATTCCTTAAAATTGACTTGATCACTCGGATTATTTCAGTGAAACAATAAATAGATTTCACACATGCTCTGTGTAAAACTTTGTGAATAATTATTTTGTCATTTCATGTGTTTAGTGATCTTTACAAGCTGCCTGCTCTGTCTCAGTATAATCATCACATTATTATTCATCCTCTCACTTGTAATACTGAGCACTTTACATCAGAAGGAGAGGTTCATGCTGTCTGGGTATGTTTGTGTGTTTATTAATGTGCTATATTGCATCTGGGTTATATCCACTTTCCAGAGCGCACTAATTCAGTGTGACAGGACTTTGTTGGTCAATTAACCTTCACATTATATCTTGTTATGCCTATGAGATCAACACTCTGCCCATGGCTTTACCCCACTGTGGTTTGGTTAAGCTGACAATATAGCAGCAGCAGCAGAATCATAGCTGAAAACAGATGATAATGAGATTTTACTCTGGAAATCTTACGTTTACACCAAACACTGAGCTGCAGCGGATACAATGTGAAGTCGTACAATTTCCTGTTTGGCTGAAAAAAGTTCATTTTTTGATTTTGGATTTTCTCATTTTGGATTTCTGTTTGTTTCTTCTTTGACAAATCTTTGTAGTTATTTAATGTAAATAAATAATGCTGGGATATGTAGTTTTTTTGTTTTGTTTTTGTAAAGAAACATTGCAAATTCAGATGCACAACTGTCATCAATTTATCAATAACATTTTTAATCTGTTCGTTTTTCAAGCAGAGCAATTTACATCATACAACTTCAGTGAAGTTGCTGCACAAATTAGAATGTATTATTCTGAAAAAAATTCCAAATTAATGATATAAACTCTCAGAGAATATATTTGTAACCTCAACCAGAAGAAGGAGCGTCTCACCAACTGTCAAATGGAAAAAAAGTAATTTTGTCATGATTTATATAGGTTTAGTTTTTGCTGTGCAGGAGGCATGGGCTGACAAAAATCCCCGGCTCAGAAGCGTGATGACTGACAGAAATTGAGCAGCGAGTTAGGCCTTTGTGACAGCTTCATGCCACCACACATTCAAAGCCTGTGGAGCTTAAATTGGGTTATAAGCCTGAAAGAAGATCTTCTGCAGCTGCGGTGCTGAGCATGCAGCTTCACCTCTCACATTTTCTTGTTAAATTTGCTGCATGACTTTCCCCCCAAACTCCATCGATATTCCACAAGGTAAACAAGTCTTTTGGGCATTCATCATCCGCTTGGCAGCACTGCAGAGCAAAGTCCCTTCTTTTGATAGAGGGGATGAGGTGATAGAAAACAGTAATAGGTCTGACCCAGCAGTGACAACCTGCATGATGGTCAGCAGGTTTTTTTTGGATGATTTTAGAAAACTTTTTTCTCCCAGAGGTGTGGTAAAGATAAGTTAAAAAATGATAGAAAATAAAATAAGTTGAAAACTCAACCTGCCTCCAAAAGGGACGTGAAAATATGTTGGGCCTGGATTTCTGTGAAAGACGTTTATTGTTAAGCCAGAGGGAAGATCAAACTTGTCAGGTCTTGGTTGTAAATCCTCTGAAATCAAATATCCTCAAAGATATTCAAACATGTTTCTATTTTAAATGAATGCACACAGCTAAAGCTCTTTAGCTGCAGCCATGAGAGTTTATTTTTCATATAAATAATGGATTTTATTTAAGCTAAATTACTTCCTGTGTATGAAACTCCGCAATGGTGACATTTGTGGTGTTGGGGAGAATAGGAAGTAATTTTGTGAGATGATATTACTTACACACAAACCTGTTGTTGTGTACAATTATATTTTAGGATATTGATGAAAACAAAACCTTCAGACCTCTGTGGAGAGATTTGTTCTGATACTAGGAACAGATGAGGATGTGTTTTGTCAGGAGATTTGATCATAAAAATGTATAAGTTTTGATTTAAGAAAGAAAGAGCATTTTATGTTACACAAGTCTCATAGTGAAAAATAAATAAACTTTGTTCAAACAAAGAAAAAAAAATAGATACAAGCTAGAAAAATATCAACCCTTCTGCTAAGAAATTCTCTTAATCCTCTGCTCCTTTTCTCCAGTAGTTTTGACGAGGTTGGGTCGTACAATGAGAGGAAATTCTCAATAATTGTTGGACATGAATGCATTCATTTGAGCACAATCATGAGATATAGTCCTGTTTTGTTTTTAGACAATAAACTAGAAGACTTGATTTAAAGGAGCTCTTAGAGCTGTATTTATGTTTTTAACTGTGTTTTGGCTGCTAATTTGCCACCTGGTGGTGCAGAGTTGTTCAAACGGCGATAAGGGCAAAAAGTCTGCAACTCTCAGCGTCCAAGAGCAGCAAAGGGCAGGAAGTCTGAGCAGGTAGACAGACACCATGCCCCCCCACAGAGCAGCCATATGTGCAGCACAGAGGTAGTTCGACACAGAGACACTGAGATGCACTGCACCAAAATCTTGACCCAAACGTACAGCCACCTCGACCCAAAGCAAGTCAGGCACTCGAACAAACCTGCTGGTGGGTTTGCAACAGTGATTTTTAAAAACATACATTTCTACAGAATTTCTGAATTAATATGAAGGGTTAGAGTTTTGTTTAAACTGTAAGATGTTCTATTCGGCTTTTGTACTAAACTAAACATGAACAATGAAAATAACTTTTTATCTTTTTATAGTATAAACTGAGATATTCAGTGAAAAAAGCTTTTTTTCCCCTATTGTTTCCTAAGAAACAGCCGAACAGAAAATGAGAAATTCATGATTTTTCAGCGTTCGATTGTTTGACGTTTTCATCAAAGGTCAAGTCAGACCTTGACTGCTACAAAAAGTAACACATGATCTACGGCTGAATCATCCCTGACTCATGGGGTATACAATCAGGATCACATTGAAAGGTTTCAGATAAACAGCTCTAAAACCACAAGGAGTCAAATTACACACATTTTGCATCTGTGAAACCATTTGAAAGCACAGTCAGTGACTCACTCTTTTCAGAAACTTGGTTTCTGTGGAGAACGAAGAGATTCTTACAGGATTCTCAATGATTTGCTGTTTGAATCACAGACCCTGAAGAAAATCTGTCTTGGAGAGTCGTAGGTACGACTGAATGTTAGTAAAGATACTGATTAAAAACATCTGCTTTATTCATCGACAGTTTCAAGCAAAGAAAGCAAGAGCTAGTTACCATATAACTGATGTACAGATGTAGCTGCTTAAATTCTGAGCTCTAATGTGGAAAGATTCAGAGATTTCCCACCAGCATTTAGTAAAAAATATGATCACATGATGGAAGTTCAACAAAGGCTTATTAACTGAAATCAGGTCAGTGTGAAGTTTAGGAAGTTAGTCTGATAAAGTTAGACAGAAAACTCAGTTTTGGTCGTTTTTGCAGCCAAAAGTGATTTTACTTTTCAGGAATCTTTTTGACATGGTGGTAAATACTTAGACATGCATGAGTTAATAAAGGGGAAAAAAAACTCACATGGGATTTTGTTCAGCTCGTTCATGAACTTGTTCTTCAGCTTGGAGAAGGCTTCATCCTTCTCCCCTGTGCCCGGTCCGGCCATGCTGGTGGTGTTGGAGCCAGCTGTCGAGGAGGAGGCAGTGGTGAGCGAAGGGGCCGCAGCCGCCAGCGCTTCCCTTCGACTCTCATTCATGGTGGCGACGCTGGGCAGCCAGGCAGTCGCTGCAGAAGGAAAAATAAATACAGTTCGGATAGATGAGATTGGATTCTTTCAGCTCCTCAGTCTCTGGGACAGATGCATGTCGGAGGCAGGGAGCCTGCCTCGTCAGATGAAGGAGGATGTGTGAGCAGCTGCAGGCTCAGCTTTAGTAAACATCAGCTGGAGTCCACAGAAAACTGGCCAGCTCTCTAAAATCAGAATAAAGATCCTCACTCAATGTTAAAATTCATGTGAAGATCACACGATAGCAATGAAATGATGATGGAGTGCAACTCTAATTATGATCCTGCACTCCCAGTTGTGACATATGTTGCAGAGCACAACACAAAGCCCTTCACACACACCAGGTGTATTTACTTTATTTTAAGGTCTGGTTGCAGAGGAAACAGAGTGACTCATATGTTATCCACTGCTCTTTGTGCAGAGGCGCTCATGCGGCGCCACATGTTTTCTGCAGCTTAATGTTCACCGTTTACCAGATAAATCATCTCCAAGCATCACAATAGGATGTCCCGTCTGTATGGGGTTTCTAGAACGTCTCTCCTACAACAGTTTGACCAAAAACTGCACAACTTCCACTACAAACTGTATTGCAATAGTTGCATAACACGAATATCAAAAGTATTTGACCAAAATTCAAATATTTTAACTGAGAAAAGGGTGAGAAAACTTCAACCTTACAACTGGACAGCAATCTCAAACATATTTTTCATCCACTAACGCTCAGTTTCACAATAAGTCTTGGAAGATACTAGACCTGACCTGAAAAAGCATCTGCTATGAGGAAGGAGCTAAAATTTTTCATTATGTTGCATAATTTATTCTGGCTATGAAATATGTTTGCAGCAGATCATAGCAGCAAAATGATGATCTACTAAGTGCAAAAGGGATTTTATAAATGTTGAAACTAGTCAACCTGACAAATATATTTTATGTTTACATCACTTGTAGCTTTACGTTCTGAGCTGCTGAAATGTTTATAATAATTCCCAGTGGGTATTTTTTTTTACTAAAAATGTGGCAGTCAGTCATTCAGCATGTTTCTGTTGTAAAGATGTTTTCATTGAGACCCAAAAATAAAAACAGAACAGAAAGTGAGTGACAAGATATGGATGCATTTACTTCCCAGATAAAATGTTTTAATGTGCTTAAGTGAAATTCAGTAATTATACAGAGCAGCTCCATGCAGCAGTTCTGCAGCAGATAGGAACTATTTGTGTGCCGATGGTGCACAGGTTGTAATTTGCTCTGCCACCATAGCAATTCAAAAGGATAATGGCGTGCTAAAGAAAACCAGTACACAGCAAAGATTGATGGCCTAATTTTTCTTCCTTCCCACAGTTGGTGCTCACTAAACTCATATTTCCCCATTTATTTTATTGTTAACATACCCAGCCGTTACAGTGGCTGTGACTCTAAGATTTACTGAATGTTTCTCTGTAAAGTAATTTGAAAGACTAAATAACCTCAAAAATGGACACAAATTAAATTTATTTTTGAGCGTCAGAGTGGAGAACAAGATGCCAGCATAAAACTCCCCAACAGAAACCATGATATAAAGAAACAGGTCAGAGTTCATGTGGAAAGTGGAAACACTGCTTTTATTTTCTACACTTTCATAACCTCACTGGCATTAAGATCATTCATTCTGGGAAGTTCAAACTAATTTGAGTTAATTTGAACTGAGCTGAGTCTCTGCTTATGCCATTTTAAAATAAATCTCTAATATTTGAGGATTAATTCTTTGAATCACTTTTATTTCTTTAAAAAAGAGGGGAAAAAGACTGAAAAACCAATTTATGTTTGTTAAACTTAGAATTATGTCAAATAAAGATTCGTATTATTGCTCATGTGATTCAGTTAGGACTTCTATTATGAATCCTTTTATTAGAAATAATTATAATTTTACCAGTGTCTCTGCTAATTAGTTAAATTTGATTGCCAGCAGATGTTATATTTTAAAAAATATATTATTCTGAAAAGATATGGACTTGCCTCCAAGAGTAATTTTACCAGAAAGCAGTTAAAATGTTTTTCTTTTCTTTTTTAAACAAGCCAATGTTCCTGCATAAATCATGCCTTTTATGAAAGATAGATGTCAAACTGACCCAGTATTGATCCAAATGAATTTTAATCTTGGAAGATTGTCAGGACATTCTGACTGAAAAGGAAAACATTTTTGACAATTAATTAAGTTTTTTGGACTGTGTTGTAAATGTGGAAAAGAAATGACTTCTGCATTTCCTTGACCAGTGACAAATTGTCAAAAACTAATAAGAAACATTTGTCTGGTACAAATGCACACAGTCTGTGAAATAAAACAGGAAAATGACATCAAAATAAAGCATTTTCCACTAATAAATAACTGCATTGACACTAAATATTGTTTGCTATAACATATCAGTCTTTTTAGGTATTTAAATAAGGAGTTGAGTTGACTAAGACTAACTACTGAAGGTCTTATCTTCCTACCTTCAGCTGATTACAATATTTAATTGCTTTCTCTCTTTCTTTTTCAGTCAGCGTTAAATAAGGAAGTCCTTGGAACAGAACTATTTCATAAAGGCTTTTTGTTGGACTTCTATAAAAATGCCACATAAAATACACAAAATTTAAGTCTATTATTAGTTGGCTGCTGAGATGGGATCGATCCTCAACATGCTAAACATATTTGATATAAAAAACAAAGGATTAATTTGGAAGCAAAGGGATTATTTTAATTTGTTTACATCAGAATCTATTGAGCGAAACAGTTTTTTTTTCATGACCTCTGCTGCTCTTTCACAACTCAGGGAAAGTTTCATATCCCGTCACTATCCAGCTGTGATATTAACATTAAACTAACATTTATTTCACAGCATCTTTCACCGTCACCAACAGAGACTTTTTAAGACAAGGGTGCTGAAAATGTAAAAAAAAAAAAAAACAAGAAAAAAGCAACAAATAAAACAGCCTGTGATCAAACAACAAGATGATGCATCAGAAGTGATTTAGGTTTGAAAAATGAGCTTTAAGAAACCTTTTCTTCTTTTCTCATGGTTGCATGAACGCCCACGCATGTACCTGTTGGCTCAGCCGCCCTTTGAATGCTGCAAGGTTAGTGTGGGGGCCGATTCATTTGGCAGTGACAGAGATACTTCAACATGGGGCGAGGACTTTAAGGGAGCACAATGATGCTCTGCAGAGTGCATGTGGGAGGCTTCTGATGTGGAACAAAAGAATTGATCATCCCCTCTGTGTGAGCGTAAACATGAAGTACAATTTTCTGAATTAATTCTGCACAACGTAAAAAAAAAGAGTGTTTATGTATTGCAGTGAATTAGATACCTAGAGATGAAGCAAGCATTACTTTACTTTAAAAAAGACAACTGAATACTAAACTGTGCATAGAGGACCACCCACTGTGTCTGTTGTGCTTCTCATGGTTGCCCTCATATTACTGGCAAAAACTGAAACAATAATTCAGCTCACATTTGTGCCTTAATGACTACTTGCCCAGTCAAGCATAAGATGACAACTTCCATGTCGTCTTCGTCGTCTGCAGTGGCAGACAGCAGGCAGTCCACTTGAAACCCAGAGTCATTTACCGCTGGAGTGGATTGAGGCTTATTTATCGTCCTTGAAGACCAGAGAGTGTTGACCTTTTTCCCTCTCGTAGGTCTGCCTTCGCAGGATAATCACGCCGTATGTGTAGTGTGACTCAATATTTACCTTGTCACTATCGCATCCACTTTAAATCATGCTTTCGCTCTATTTTTGAAGGTTTTTCGTCACCCACAGAAAGTGATTCAAGCCCAAATTAAACAAATTACATGTGCACTGTATTTATTTACCCCGCTTTGTTGTGAAATCCCTAACTGCACCTGTTCTGTAAAGTTTCAGCTACATTACACAACATTAATCAATAAATAATGCAGTCAATAGCAGAAACTAAGTCAAGGAGAAGAAAAAGGTGGGGTTAGGTTGGAATATTTTTGTAATCTTTGCACATTTTAAGAGTACAAATCTGAAAATAGCAAGAATGTGGCACAACTGTAAACCACCAAGCATTAACCTGACAAGCAGAAGAAAAAGTAAAGAGCCGCCATGGAAGCCACGGTGACTCTGGATGAGCTGCAGAGATGCACAGCTCAGGTAATTCATTTTAGTTTATTCATATAACACCAATTCACAACAAGTTCATGGCGAAATTCATAAGAAGTTCTGTTTAGTTTGCCGTAAACGAGGAACACAAAGGGAGTTTTTCGACATACAAGCAAAATGCTTTTTGAAAGACAGCTAATCGTACATTACCCTGAACACATCATTCAAAAGACGGTGGTGGCAGTATCATGCTGTGGGTAAAGAGATGTAGAAAATAAGTGGAGATAAATGCAGGGCAATCCTGAAAGAAAGTCTGTTTGAAGCTGCGTATAACTGGGGGCTGGAGCAGAGGTTCGTCTTCCAGAAGCATAAATGCAACAAAGCTAGGTTGGTACATTCAGGTGTGGGAGAGGGCCTAGTCAAAGTCCAGCTAAAAATCTAAGTGAGAATCTGTTACAGTAAACCAACATTAATGTTCACAGATCTTACTCCAATCTGAGTAAGCTTGAGTTTTTTTTCCCCCCAAAACAAAATCACTGATAGAGACGTAAAATAAAAAGGAAATTTCGGTTGACGACATAATTTATGCACTAATTAGAAAACTATGAATACTTAGCCATCTAGTTCACAATTATTTTTGATCTTTGCCACATCTAATCCAAAGTTTGTGGTTAAAATGTAAGAAAATAATTTTAAACATATTGCAAGACAAGAGCATCAGCTGATCTGACCCAGTCTGCCTTCATTCTGGTTTTGCTTCACTGCAGGATGCGACACACTGCTGCTTCCAGATTCCTCTTTTCTGCACCAGCCATCTTTTTGGAGGCGTGCCGCTCAGGTGTAAAACCCCAACCCAATTAAAGGGCCGCCAGATGGCCCAGCAGGTCCCCTATCGCAGCGGAAAAGCTGACACACAGCT